ATTGTTGATGTGCTTGGGAGATTGATCCATAGAGCAGACTCAAGGAATTTGATAAGAGGGTGGAGAGTAGGAAGGGAGGAGGTTCCCTTAACACTTCTATAGTTTGCAGATGATACTAGTAAGGGGTATGTGGTGGTATTTGGTCAGATTACATATCATCAGATACTCGGGTTAGTATTTGGTCAGATTACATATCATCAAAGCATGTTCACATCGAAATCTAGTAAGGGGTATCATAGTTTGTTCCATCATGTGCGTGCATCGAGAAAGGTGAGGAACCCAAGTATTGAGACCCTGAAGGGATATGTGGTGGTGCCCCGACTAGTACAAATGTTGTAAATTTGGTTAAATGGGAAGAGATGTGAGAAGACTTGGTATCAAAAAGCCCTGCGCAAAATAACTTCTAACCATTGCCCTATAAGTTTAGGGCAGGAGAGGCTTGTAGGAGGTCCAACCCTTTTTTGATTTGAAAATATGTGGCTGGAAGACCCCTAGTTTCTGGTGAAAATTAAGGAGTGGTGGGAGGAAAATGGAATCTTTGTGAGGAAAAAGGGAGTCAGATTTGTCAAAAAGCTAAAGAGATTCAAAGAAAGGATAAAAGAGTGGAACAAAGAGAATTTTGGGAGGATGGATAAGAAGACTTTGATCCTTAAAAGAATAGGGGAGCTAGATGAGAATGAATCATTGAGAACACTTTCAGAAGTGGAAAGGAAAGAAAGATGGGTGTTAAAAAGAGAGATGGAAGATCTCGAGGAAGAAGGAAATTTCTTGGAGACAAAAATCACGGTGTAGATGGCTTTTAGAGGGAGATGGGGATACTAGATTCTTTCACCCTCTAGTGTGGAGTTTGAAGGAGAAACTTTATCAAGGGAGGTGGAAATTGTGAGAGTTTTTGTGAATCACATTAAAGACATTTGTGGAAGAAATGAGGAGGTAAGAGATCCTTTGCCTGCACTGGGTTGAGTCAGTTTGCCTTTGTTCCAAACTTCCAAAAGGAATCACCGGAAGATAGGTTCACATTGGAGGAGATAAAGAAACAGTTTTCTTAATGATGGACAATTCAAAAGCTCCAGGACCAGATGGTTTCACCATGGCTTTCTACCAAAAATGTTGGGATATAATCAAAGCTGATTTCTTAGAAGCCTTTAATGAATTTTGGTTTAAAGGAAAAGTAAATCCGGATGCAAATGCCATTTATATTGCAGTAATTCCTAAGAAAAAAGAAGCTTTACTCCCAAAGGTTTACAGACCAATAAGTTTGGTGGGAAGTAAGAGGCGTTTACTGAACCATTGGGAGACTAGAGTTTCTTGGAGGGTCCATAAGTCGAGTAGTTTCAACTTTGGGCTGGGTTCGGCAACTGAGGAAGGTTGGGTATTGGGATACAATTGAAATATGGGGTAGAACTATGTTTTGGGTCGCTTATTTTCTGAACTTATTGTGGCTCATTTCTTTTTGGAGTGAGTCTATTAAGGGATTTTTAAATCCTTCTTGACAAAGTGATGGGAAGGAAGAATGAGTTGGGTTGTCACAAGGTTCCCCGTTCCCCAATTGAAGCTGTTGTCCTTTCTGGAGGTAGAAAAGAAGATGAGTTGGTTGGTGAATAAGAAGAGTTGCCAAGTGAAGATGGGTTTAATAGAAGCTGCTGTATATTCCTTTAGAGCATGTAGGTCTGAGCTTTCGTCAGTGATAAAGGCTGAAAAGAATATGATATTTTTTTGTTTGTTGATATTCTGAAGTGCCTTGCATGGTTACTTGCATTGGGCAAACGTTCTTACACTGGATCATCTGAAAAGAAGATAATTTTATTTGGCTACTTGGTGATGTATGTGCTGTAAAATTGAAGAACTTGTGGCGCATCTGTTCAGTTGATGCAGTGTGGTGGACTTCATCTGGAAATATTGTGCAGGTTTGGTGGGACCTAGGCTTGATCCAATAAATTTTAGAGAAATCTTCTCTAAGTGTCCCAGGATCAATAGTAATAAATTAAGGATCTTTTGGGGTATTTGGACAGGGAGAATATTTGAAGGTAAATGCGGAAGCTTAACGAGAATTGTGGCTGACATTATATTGATGGTGATGGATTGGTTGCTGATTCCTTCCGAGTCTAAAAAAAATTCCTAGAGCTTTGTTTGATTCAGACCTTTGGATCACTTGATATCTGAGCAATATGTTTTTTTTTTTTTTTTTTTGTGTGTGTGTGACATATAGCAGCACATGTTTTTTTCAGCTGAATCGTGAATTCATGATTGTTCATGATTCCCCACTAAGAAACCCGAGGGTGACTTTTTAAAACTATGGGAGAATAATTATTTTCATAGCAAGAGAAGATTTCATTAAAAGTGAGAAGATACAAGAATAAGTGATAAGAAATCGCCAATAATGAGGAGGAACTACATGCAACAATTTCCCTTCCTAACCCCCATAAACATAACTAAAGATAAAAAAACAGGCCATTACCCAATGTTGGTCCTAGCTATCTGGAGTCTTGGGAAGGGTGGACTGGTATGGTCCTAATGTTTGGCATTTATTTTTCTCACAAAGTCACCGTCATCAGACTCAAACCCACATTCTCATGCATGCCAGCCTGAGGTAACTAAAGATCTAATCCGCAAATTAAGCTCCACATGAAGACCATCTGTCAAAGATAAAAGCTGTTTTCAGCCTTAGCCCTTGCCCAAGCATCACAATAGCAGTTAAGTCCTAGAAGAGAAGATTTAAATAGACTGAACAACATTACCAAACTCCCATACTATCAATACTAGAATATTCTCCATCTTACAGTTATTGTTAAAAGGCATTCAGTCCTACCTTACGCATGGAACAACTTGGAATGGTGATCAACATAGAATTGACACTAACAATTGAAATGTCCGACATGGACTTGGCATCTATTTTGAAGTATCCATGCAACATGGATATTGATTTTGTTCTTTATTTTACTTTTTTGCATAAATACTTCCTAATGGAACAAATTTACTCCTTGAGTCTTGACTCAATTCATTTTTCAAAGACAATCAGGTATTTGCAGTTTTGTCTGCTCTATACTCCAATACCTTAACTGTTCAGGCAATAATGAAACTATGCTTACCTTTGGTTGTTTTGGCAATCAGTTACGTCAAATATGCAAAACTTCTGGCGCAAGGGTTTCAATGGAGACAGCTAATGCACGGAGTTCTTTCTATCGTACTTCAGTTGAATTGGTTCTGAACACTTGCATCAGGTACTTGGTTCAGATATGTCTTGTAATTCTCTATATGCTGGTTGCTGCAAAGTGGTTTTGTTAATCAATGATCTTTAAGTACTTTTTTTTCCTGAAGTTGTGACTTATTTAGGAATGCTGCAGTTCAATGAGCTATAAACCTGTTCAGATGGGTGGTGAAGATGCACGACAATTTGTTGCTGGGCTTGCTGATAACATTGGGCTTGAGGACATTGATGCTGTGAGAATTGTGTCAGCAACGGTTGCAGCACGCACACGCTCACGCTTTTTGCAGGCTTGGGTAATTTTTGTCTTTTCAAAGCTTTTTGAGACTGCATGTGATGATCATTATTTCACCATTACCATTGTCATCATCCAAGGGATATCCTAGTATGAATTTTTAGTATTCTCTCAGGACTGTAAGCCATATCCTTCTGGCTTTTTAATCTGATTGAATGTGCTAAACTCATTCAGTAGTGGGAGAGCAAATAATCTGACCCGACTGAATATTGAGTGTGGCTCCCCTCACAAACCAATCCAAAATCCTGTCATGAACAGAATGATATTGAACAAGAGGGACATCAAGGAGATCACTATAATATTTCCAAACCTTTTTCACCAACACCCCTGTTAGTGGAAAATTCTTAGTATAATTTCTCACATAACATAATTCTCCCAATTAAACTAATAATCGGGCTTTTTGATATTTGGGTAAGTCCCGTTGAGGCATGTAGATGTTCCTTTAATTACATCTCTGCTAGGGGTAGAGAAAACCTCTTGATTCTGGCTTAGAAGTACAAGTGAATAGACCAAATTAAGTAGGATTTTTATACAGAATTTTCCTTTGGTGTATATTCTCTCTTTGTTTGAGAGAAAACCACCAAATATAAATAAATAAACCTTTGTTTTTATGCATAACAAGCAAACAGGGATCATAAGTAGCCATTTTTCATGAATAAGGCTGTAGATGGCCTTTAAATAATGGTTATGTGCATTATCATGTTATTTGGCAAGATTTTTCTGAGAATGGATGACATCAACTTATATCTTGTGTTATGCATTTTACAAATGTTTTGCTTTCTCAAAATTCTCCTGTTATTTTGATGGCTACTGTTTGTTCATCAGCTGTATTATGATGTATGCTTACAGGCATTTGAAATGCAAGGAAGTCATTCTGAAGCAATGGTAGAACTATCAGGAATCTGTCTCATTCACCAGATATTTCCTCCTGAAGAATCCTCTGTACGTACCTGGTTATCTATGGTCAATCACATAGTTCAGATGTTTTCTTTCTTGGTTATGTCCTAGAATCCACCTTTTCAATGAATAAGAACATCTATTGTGTTGAAGTTCACTGGAATTACATCCTTTTTAAGTAGTGAACATTTGTTTGTGAAATACTGTAACAGTTACCCTCAGTATCTTGTTGTTCTCTATAATTTCATGATCTATGACCATGACACTTGGGGCCCATTTGGGAGGGCTGAGCTGAAGATTCAGCTAAGCTGATTTGGCTGGCTTTGAAGTGCTCCTGATAAGCTATTCAAAGAGTCTGAAGTGGAGCCCTTCAAATTACTGATTGACAGCCAAATTGGGCTCTCAAGATTTTTCACCAAACATAGCTTGTAGGCTGTCCATGTGGGGCCCACCTTGGAAAACCAGAAGCCACTGCGCTTGAGACCTCCCAAACTGGCACTTTTTCTCCTTTACCTTTCTTTTGGTCTAGACTCTAGACAAGTTTCAGATCTTGACGTGCATAGAACAATGCCTTAATTTTTTTCTATATGCCTTTACCGTGATGTTTAAACACCATTTGTGGCTTGGGAGCAGTTGCAATCTCATATACACCAAAGCACATTTTTGGCTCAAGAATAGGCTTTACGTCTAGCACTTTTTAGCCAACTTAACCGAAGTTGTTGATTTGGACACTGCTTTTTCCTTTCATTGATAGTTTTGTTAATATTGAGAGTGAGATATACAGTCAACAGATGGACATGTCTTAGACTAGTACTCTGGTAATTCAATTCCTGTCAACTTCAGTAATTAGTTGATCTGTCTATGGGTGCTTTCAGTAATGGGCTAATGGCTGCTTTGCTTCTTCATTATCTAATATAATATGGTGAGTTTGTTTCTGCAGCCTGAGATGGACATGGTGGCTCGTGGTCTTAAAAAACAATTAAGAGAAGATCAAAGGAAATTTCTATTGAATCTGCTTGTTGGGGTATGTGGTGCTAAGAGTCGCAGAAGTGCAGCAGAAGCTCTTGGTCTAGTAAGCAGCTATTTTGTGGTTAATGAGAATCTTTAGCTTCTGACTCGATAGGACATACCTAATTAGAAACCATCTTCCCATGTAAAATGGGGCAGGAAATTTTGTTTTCCCTGTAAAAGGGGCAAAATTATTACTGCTAATATTGGCTAATAAGTTACATGTCAGCAGTGAATGTCTTGGCAACCTTAATGTTGTTTCTTGTTTGTTTGTGGTTCGTCCTTTCTTCTTTTTCTTTCTTTGGAAGCTTATTATTGTGTTGTTGGAGGCCTAGTGACTCGTTATACTCAATTACCTTATTGTTCTTTCATTATCAACAATCAAGGGGGGAGTAACAGAATCGTTTAACCTGTGATGTTATTATATTACTTTTAGGATGTCTACTAGAAATGATCACTTGATGGTGAGCTTTGGTCCTGCTGTATACAATTCAATGTCCGTATTGCTGAGAAGATTTGGAGTTTGACTGCATGTGATTCTGTAAGTACACTTCAAACTGACATTTTCATTTTCTTAAATAAGGCTTTCCATTTTTTGCAACTACTATACCATATTACAAAATTCCATATCGTTCATTGTAATTTTCTGATTTCATTTTCTTTTGGAGGGATGCTTTTCTGAGTTTTGTATTCCCTGACATTGGTTACCAAAAGATCTGCTAGTCATAGTAACATTATTAGTTATTATCAAAACAATCATGTAAATATTATCCAAAAAAAAATAGTAACGTATTAGTAATTTATCTATGATGCGTATAGATTACACTAGCAAGTGCACTAACCGATCAAGTAATATAATGATGAGTAGAGTATCGTTCCCACGAGGATTGATCCAACAATTACTAGTACTGAATCAGCCTTTTGTTATCTGATAAACCGAAATATTAAATACATAAAAACCCTAATTCCTAATTAGCAAACTACCCTAAATAGTTTCGAATCAAACCACCTTCATGCAATGAGAAGAAAAACTGTATGTAAACCCTAGTAGAATCGGTTCAGCAGTTAAATCATTAAGTTATTCAATTGATGTGGGATTCAGTCATGGTTTGGCGAAACACTAATGATATGAGCAGCCTCTCTTGAGCACAACCCGCTCTATCTATGGGTGACAATTCCTATATCTCTATTAAGAATTTAATCCCCATAGATGCATTAAGAACACAGAATTCGAAGGTCATCAATTCAGGTATGAATTAATGCCAAACGAACCATGCAAATTATCTCTAAAATGCATTCAATCCGTTTTCTTGATTAGATGATCTGAGTATCTAAACTCTTTCTCAAGCAATTCAAGCAATCCAAGAAATAAGAACAATTTAGCCATGATTATTCTATCAATTGAAAACTTTAATCAAGAAGTCCCAAGAATGAATCCAATCAATCGAATAACATAAAAGATTTAATTACAGGTCTGAATTAACATCCAACATGATTCGAATCATAGAGAGAAAGAAAGATTCAATAAAGAAAAGCCATTAAACCCTAATCGAACCTAGGTTACTGAAATCGCAAAACTAAAGAAGACAACATATGATTGTTGCATCAATCTTCGATCTTCTCCTCTCCAATTCGCATTCAGTAGCCTTTTCTTCCTTCTTCAGCACTTATCTTCTTCAATTTGCTTTCAAGGGGTTCGAACCCTAATTTCTTCATTTTCTTTTCTTTTATACCTCTTCCTTCAGCCTTTTCTCTCTTCTCTAAAGGCAGTCGCCTTTTTGGGGTCTCCTTAGGGTAGCGAATTGGGTTGCAGTTGGGCCTCCTTCTTTGGTGGGCCGAAATGCTTCCCTTGGAGGGTTTTGGTTGGGCTCTCTCCTTGGTGTTTCCCATAGAGTTTCGAATTAGGCTTTGCTTCTTTATGGGCCGAAGTGCTCTCATTTTGATTCTCAGCTGGGTCTTTCTTCTAGATGGGCCAAAATGCTTCCCTATTCGCCCTATCAGCATGTCTTTATGCTATCTTTACCCTAAGTTGTCCCAAACTCTTGATTTCTTGAAATCATTCTCAATTAGGATAAAAATCATGAAAATCATCATCAAAACTATGTATAAAACAATAAAAATGATGTGTAGCATGCACACACATTAATATCTGTTAACAAGACTTCATTGATTAATTTGCAATTGGAAATTTGGATGTTGTTTAGAAAATTATGTTCATATAATATTAACAAGGTTTAAAGTGTTGATTTAATATGAATGATATGGGCCAATATATGTGTTTCAACAGTATCACTGTATCAGTGATGTCAATGGGTTGGTTGCTGTGGATGGATACCCATTTTGTATCAACCAGAAAATTAGAAAAGAAAAACTTAATTGATTAATAAAATCAATAATTTTAAATAGTAACTAGCGAAGGGACCTTGCCAGGCAAAGTACTAACTGAATTCGTTTAGCTGATTATCATGGTTGAACATCAATGGGACCTTGCTAGACAAAGTACTAAGGTTTTGAGAATATTTTTATCAACATGAAAATATTGATGAAAATAACTAATATGAAACTATCAGAGACGCAAGATTCTCTTCTTAGTGTTGGGAAACCAAATACAATGAACCATAGTTTTTAAAAACGAGCCGGTGACCGAATCGGTCGGGTCTGATTACCGGTTTGAATGGTCCGACCGTTTGACCCGAACCGTTGGCCTGTTTTGACAAAAAAAATTAAAAAAAATTAAAAGAATTGGAAAATGGTCAAAACCGTTCGAACGGTTAATCGGATGGTTCAACAGTTTGTTGACCAAAATCAATGGCTTTAGGGAAAAAAGTGGTTTTGGGGGAAAATGGAACCGGCCAGGTGACTGGTTCCCAGTTTTTCTGGTCCGACCGTCCGGTCCGGTTTTGAAAACCATGCAATGAACTTCTCTACGAAGAAGACAAAACCAGGCGTGGTAAAGAGAATGTCCTCACTCATTTTTCTGGTGAATATTATAACTTGCAAACAGCAGGTAAGGTGCAAATTGACATGGTTTCCTACAAGAAGCCACTGAAAAAACCTAGGCTAGCAAATTTCAAATCTCTACCATGTAATGGGGAGGCAGATATTTGACTTGTAGTCACGAAGGCTAATTTTCATTTGCAAATAAAAAATAAAAACCAAGGTTCAAAGTATCCACACGTATCGGCTTGTATCAGTTGATATGTATCGTTCTGGGACCCCTCCAATATGCCCTTATAGTGGGTGTATTGGGGGTCTGACCGGTTCAGGGTGTGGAGGAGACCTAAACCTCCCTTCTGAACTTGTTTAAAAAAAAATAATAAAAAAATGTAAGAAAAAAGGGTATTGATTTGCTCGATACACCCATACCGACATATAGGGAGTATCGATATTTTGAACCTTAAAAGCAGAATGAAAAGAATCAACTAACATACAAAATGAAGTAAATAAAATAGCATCATTGGCAATTAGAAACATAAGCCTACTATTATAAAAAATAAAATAGGAACCAGATATTTCCAAGATTAAAAAATATAATGAATTAAAAGAACATATAACAGGAAATGGTAGATAGTCATACTTATCGTGGAGAGTTCCATGTGTTTCATACTTCCATAACCTGCATAGATGTAAATGTAGCTATACATCATGACACCGGCAGTAATTCTATTTTGAAATAAGCAAGAAATATACATCATGCAATATGCTAAAAAGTAGTAGACAATTAACGAATAGATTACTCCTATGTAAGACCATGAGTTTATACAAGGCTGCATTACCTCACGAGTCTTGACCTCTCACGTATATAAGAGCCTGTGAACATGCAACACGAAGACCGTGAGTGAAAGCTGGCCTTTCGGCATCTTGAGTATCACTAATACAAAGTTTACAAACTATGAAATCGTAAATTTTGATGTCATTTGACAAGTCTTTTTTGAAAGATCTTCTGACAAACAAAAGGCGTATAATGCTTTACATAAAGATCTTGGCAGCTTATAGTTTGTTTGGTTGGAGGCACGTCTTTTCTCACGAAAACGAGATGAAATAAGTCGAAAAATTCCAACTAAATGAAAAAAATGAAGCTGACAGCTTACGCTGGAAAGACGTGCCAAACGAGGTCTTTGTCAAAGCTTTGCCTGCATCCGCATGCCTTGACAATGAATCTCCTTGGACCGCACCATGACCCCAACGGCCCAACCTAGTCGATTAAACGGACTTCTCATCCCAGAGTTGAGTTGTGCCACATGGTGAGATGAGATCCGGAGAGGTGCTAGGGAAAACGAACGTGATCACATGCTTGGATCCCCACTCAACGCATGTTCCCATTGAAGCAACCCCGATTGATCAAGAATATATAGTCAAGGAGGAGGAATACCCAGAAGATTGTGTGTACATATCCACCTGGTCGGCTTTTCCACTAAAGGCACGGGATCCGGTCGCTCAGCAGGCCAGTAGACCGTTGAACAATTGGTTTCCCCCAAGCCTCAGAAAATATAATTGTTGTTGCCCACAGGTGCCAGGTGCAAAAGGGGGGCATTTGAACACTTATCCTTTTGACTCCCAACCTTGAGAGTCCATAGACCTACGCATAGCTATAGGTTTATATTAAGAATCTTTAGTACGCTCCGCTCTCTAATGGATGCCGTCGAGGCGTCTCTTAGGAATTATTGATGAGCAGCCTCTCCAACAAACAGAACCAATGCATATAGATTTAGAGCTTAGATCATCAATAGAAGAAGAAGAAGAGCCAAAACCCAATGGTGACAGGGCCTTGGTTGGGGAAAGTCTATGGGATGGAAGATCGTTTTAACTATGGAAGAAAAGCAATAGAAATGATTTTGCCGCCTAAGAAACAAGACCAATTGTTCTCCTTGTTGCATAACCATTTCCAAGCTCAACCTCAACAACTGATGTTGGCGGTGGCCCCCACTCCCCAGTCAAACGCAACACCAACCTCAGTATCCGTCATGCCCGTGGCCAATTGCATTGTGCAATTGGGCCCAACACATGGGCTGAATTAACTCACAATTTGTTGTGACATATTAAATTTTAGGGTAAATTACAAAGACTCCCCTGTATTATGGGGTGTGACAAAAACCCCCTGTACTTTTATTGTGACAAAGACCCTCTTGTCATGAATGGATGCACATCATCCCATCATCATTGAATGATCTCTGTTATTTGAATTGGGTCTATTGGGGTCATGGTTGAGCTGGCCCAAAGAGACACGTGCCGCCCAGTCATAGCTTGGCCACGTCGGCATAGCCCGGTCGAGCTATGTTACTGTTGTGGTCTCCCGCCTTATCTCTCCAGCCATGTCAGCTATACGCCACGCGGATAAGCCCGACTACGGATAAGGGTGGGAGGACAACTCCGCTGAGGAGTAGGATTCTACCCTGGTAACCTCAGCAGAGAGCTCTATCCCGATTATCCCGGAATCCTAATCCGATCGGGAGATGGACCTCTGACTATAAAAAGGTAATCCATGCTCAAGGTAAGGGATGACCCCATCTTCTAACTCCCATACCGCTATTTTGCTTGGACCAAGCACCCTCATTGCTTGGCCCGACCATTCACCGCCCTTTCATTGACTTGAGCGTTGGAGTACCTACCCGGGGATAACTCCTCGGGCCTCAGACTTCTTCTCTTGATCGTAGGTTACATAGCGCGTCACCGTCCTTGTAAGCTTGGCACCACCCAGTTAGCAAGGATTATTTGGTTGCTCTCCTCAGTTCGTGCACTACCTCGGATTGAGTAGCATCAGTATCGTAGCATTACAACCACACCTAGGCAGCTAGGCATTA